TTTTTTTTTTTTTTTTTTCCTTCCTCCTCTGCTGTGAATTCCAATCTGGAACCTCACGTGCTGTTATGATGTAATCTTTACAGTCTGCAGCCAGGCGAGTCTGCGCGAAGAGAGTCTCCTTTTGTATCACCCCATCTGGACGAACCATCTTGGAGAATCTGCCCCAACAGCCTAAGTACCACGCGGTGCCACTCCTCTAGCAAGGCAGTTAAGCGTCCCACAGGATCAGCTGGCTGACAGGGAGCTTCCTTATAAGTAGCTTCAGCATCTTGTTTGCGGTGCCCCCATTGTGGTGATCCCTTTTCCTATCCCCCGAGGAAGAAGCTAGAAAATGACGCTAGGCCCAGTGGTTACCGGCACGTCGGTCATTGCCCTCAAGTACAAGTATGGCATTCTGATCGCGGCTGACAAAAAGGGTAGGGACGCGTGGAAAATTGTACATGCGTATGAGCGTGTATGTGTCTATCCCCGGAGGGTGGTATTCCCTCACGCCGCCTCTACGCTATCACACGATGCCCATTCCATCCGCTGCTTCGGCACCCAACCCTGCTTCGGCACCCAACCCTGCTTCATCACACCGCTTTGCCTCATCACACCGCTTTGCCTCATCACACCGCTTTGCTTCATCACCCCCCTTAGCGAGCTACGGGAGCTACGCCAAGTTCCAGAACGTGGAGCGCATTTTCAAAATCAACAACAAGACGGTGATGAGTTTCAGCGGTGAGTTGGCAGACGCGCAGTACCTCCATGAGGCTCTCACCCGAGTTAACGTCAACAATGTCATGGATAAGAAAAGCAAGTACGACGTGCACAATACGAAGTATTATCATTCCTATGTGGGTAGGCTCTTTTACAATAGGAAGAACAAAATCGACCCTCTTTTCAATACAATCATCGTTGCGGGGGTGAATTCACAAGAGTACGACGATAATGATAAGGACGTGTTACTTTATTCGGACAGACATACGACTGATGAGTATAAGGTTATCAATAAGGAAGACCTATACATCGGCTTTGTAGACATGCATGGGACGCAGTTCACTGGAGATTATATGACAACTGGGTACGCTCGTTACTTTGCTTTGACTCTGCTTCGAGATCGCTATAAGGATTACATGACAGAGCAGGAAGCGACGATTCTTTTGAATGAGTGCCTGCGTGTTCTTTACTATCGGGACGCCACGGCATCAAACAAAATTCAGATTGTTAAAATCACTAGCAAGGGGGTGGAATACGAGGAGCCATACTTCCTCTCCTGCGACATGAATTCGCGCGACTACGTGTACCCCTCGATTATGCTGCCCTCTACGGGCTGCATGTGGTAGGGGTGCCCCAGATGGAGATCTATCACCACGCGGTAACACACCCGCTGCTTTAGACGAACCGCCACCTTGTTTCTTTTTTTTTCTTTTTTTTTCTTTTTTTTTTTTTTTTTTTTTTTCTTATCCTTCCTACAACTCATTGTAAAAAACGCACCGAAGAGGAACAACCCCCCCACGGGGATGGGAACCCCACCGGAGGGGATGCAAAATTCAAAACGGACAAACGGGGGGGATGTAAAATGGAAAAGGAACAAACGGAAGGGATACAAGCTTCAGAACGGACAAACGGAGTGGGGCCTGTGTGGGCGCCCACGCAATAGTTAGTAAGTTTCTTCGTGCAGGAAAAATGGGGGGTGTTATCGTGGAATTCGCGACGAGGGGCCTTCCGATGGGCCACTAACACCCCGGCGCTGACCCCCTTAGAGGTACGCGTGGCTGAAGTAGTCGTCCCGCTCAGCGCTCTTATACTCGTCGATCAAATTCTGCGTGATCTCCTTGGAGGACTCCATCTCCTCGAAGTTGCCCTGGCCGTCCGCACTGCTAAACATGGGCTCTTTTTTGTAGTTTTCCAAGAAGGCCCTTCGCTTAAAAAGTCGGTCAAACTGAGTGACGCAGCGTTCGAAGAGGGTGGAGATGGAAGTGTGATTGGCCATCATAAGCCCAGAGACCTTATGAGTGGATACTACGTGAGGAGATGGCTTCGCTAAAGTGACTTGGATAGAGGCAGGGTTCCATTTGATAAAATTGACTAACTTCCTATCTCGTATCCGTTGCAATCCTTTATGTACTTGTGTGGGATCGGTTTCTCCCCTGATGATGTTAAGGATAGAAATGTACATACCTCTCCTGACTGGCACCGAAACCATGATGTTTTTTGTGTGCAGCAGTCTCTTCATGACATCTAGCACCGTTGTCTTCTGCACATTAGAGAGATGCTTCTCTATCGTAATCGGTGTGTACGAAGTAACAAGGAAGTGACACTTAGGATTTATGATGAGAGACGAAATTAAACTTATCATGTCGTTATTCATACTGCCAGGGTATCTCAACGTCGTGGTGGAAGCAGACATGACATTGGAGATAATCGTATTGGTTTGTTGGAATGTCGGATTGTTTAATTTCAATCGGTCGACAAAGATCCTATTCAGGGACGTGTTATCAATAACGACTACACTGTCCGTACTTAGGATCAGTCTCTTCAATGTTAGGATGCTGTTGTACGGCTGCACCACCACATCACTGCTCTCGTTCGTCAAGAGAGGAAAAACAGAAAAAGTCTGTATTACCTTCTTCGAGTAGTTATCATTCAGTAATTCTAGTAAGTAACTTCCCATCCCGCTACCAGTCCCTCCTGCAATGGAGTGGGATAATATGAATCCCTCCAGGTTGTCACTGTTATCAACTTCCCGATCAATCATATCGATGATCTCTTCTTCCACTTTGTGTCCTTGGCTGTATCCACATCCCCAATTGTTTCCTGCTCCTCCTCCTTCTTTCGAAATGAACATATTTTCAGGATTGTACAGGTTACGATATTCGCTAGCTTGAATGCTATTAATAACTCTGGGCTCCAGATCGAAGAGCAGTGCCCTCGGGATGAAGTGTTCATCATCGGCCTGGTAAAAGAAGATGTCCTTGCGATCCTCATTCAGGTAATTATTGTTTTTTAGTATCCCCTCCTTGTCTATGTTGTGTTCGTTGCACAGCTGCTTCCAGAACTCCACTCCGATCTGGTTTCCGCACTGCCCGCACTGCAGGGTGATGATTTCTCTCGGCATCTTGACGGGGATGGGCGGAGTGCGCAGCGGTTGGTAGCTTATTGCGGAGGGGTCTCCACGTTATTGCGATACGGCCGTTACTTTACTGGGCAACGGTAGTCACTTTACTGCGATGCGACGCGATTAGTCCATTGCTACCCTTGTGCGTCCTCTCAGTCGGGCGTCGGGTGGGACATTTGCAAGCCTCGAAAGTGCTGCCGACTCGACTGGACCCTTTGAGAGGAACACCGCGACGCGGTCAACCTGTGTGCAGGTCTGGAAATTTCACGCTCAGGTGGAGGATGGACAGGTGAAGAATGCATAGCCAAAGGGGACACTAACCCGTCAGCATTAACGTGCCAGCACACACACCCCCACGCGAGAGAAAGAAAAAAAAAACAAAAGGGACAGGGGGGTCCCCGCGAAATTCCTGCAGGGGTATCTTCTCCCCTCTTGTGCATACGTACCTGCGTGGAGAGGGAATACACTGCGCCTAGAAGGTGTTTTCACGTGGATCTTCAAAAGGGGGAAAATGACCATTACAATATGACGAGAAAATTAATGAGCCACTTGGGAGACTAGGCAAAACGAAAGAGTGGGAAAGGTCCAGAGAGAGGAAAAAAAAAAAAAAAAAGAATGCTTCCGTGTAATCGCTGCACTCGCATGTGTGGGTACAGCGCTGATACGTATGCACTTGCACGGACCCGTGCTTCCCTCGTTTTCCGGAGAGTTGACTTTGGCAGGACGTTGATCCGATCGCGTCACCTGCCTTGACGTGGCAGTCCTGTTGGCTTAGCTTCCATTTGAACCCTTCGACCTCTATGGGAAGTCGCCCCCCCGCTCCGCTCCATGAAACGTAGACATTCGAACAAGCCTGGGGAAGGTTGCTCCCTCGAGAGAGCTTTTTTTTTCCTGCTGCGTCCCTGGAACTGGGCCTACCCCTCACCCGGTTGCGCGACAGGGCATGCCTTGTGTGTGCGTTGGATACATTCATACATAGGCACGCCTCTGTGTGTGTTGATACATTCGTCCACAGGCATACCTGTGTGTGTTTGCCTTCTGCTCCCCTCGCCTACGCACCAATCACGGATTGTTACTCTTCGTAGCGGACAATTGCGCGGACACAAATTCCCCTGGGTTGCTACGCGTGGAAGAGTAGGTAAACCTCTACCTCACTATCATTTTTTTTTTCTCTCTCTCACGGAACGTGCACAGCTAGTCAGTTCTTCCTCAGTTAAGGCGAAACTCCCGCGCTTTAACATCTCGCAGAAAAGTCATTCCCCCGATGTGTTGGGTACGTTTGATGCGGAAAATCAAAACGGGGCGAAGCACACCACGTGTGAGCAGCGACGACGAATGAGCTGCCACCACGAATGAGATGCCACCACGAATGAGATGCCACCACGAATAAGCTGCTTGCTCGTCTTAGCCTAGCTCAGCTCAGTTTAGCTCATTCTACCCGTACGAATGAACAAATTTTAATTTACAATCGGTTGTTTCAATCATTTTGGAAGGGTTCATGCATCTCTACAAGGATTTCCTCCCCCGGAAAACAACTCCCAACAAGGGAATATAGGACACATGCAAGAACGTAGCACATAGCACGGGGGAGGAAAAGGGATAACCAACAACGCGTAGAGAAGGAAAAAATCAGAAAAAACGTTTCACAAAATAGGTACCAAATAAAGCATTACTGAAAGACAGTGTTGGGGGGGATGATATAGTGGGAGAATGAGACATACATGGAGCGCGTCTGAGGGGGGGATATCATAACCGAATGAGTGAGTCACTCACTGGGCTATGGTAAGACAAAAATAAAAAAATGTTCAAAAAAAATATGAAGAAGCCATCTCCAAATGGTAGAAAAGAAAAAAAAAGTGCAAAAAAAATATGAACAGGCAAGGTAAAAAATAAAAATTTGCGAGTGAAAACTAACATGGCCCATTTAACACCACTCAGGGGTGGTAAAAAAAGGAGGAAAGAAAATGCAGGGAAATGAACAGACGCTCGCTGTAGCATTATCCCAATTTGGAATGTGTCATTTTTCTCGATTGGAAAATTAGCTCGATTATTTTGTACGTCACTATTACAAGAATGGACTTCAGGAATCCCCAAACAAGTGCGGCTGGGGGTCGAGGGAGGAAAAGAGACCAATAAATGAGAGAATAAATAGGGTGAATCGAGATGCATAAACGGACATGCGCGTTACGATCCCGCTTTCACACTGCGTTGCAGAGAATGCCTTACCCAGTCTGTGGCGCACACTCTGCAACAGGGGATTAAACTCGGCCTTGAAGTACCTCTTCCCGCTGGGCCATGCCGCAGTGTGCGATGGCTCTGCCGAAGAAGCGCCGTCAGTCGACTGAACAACCGTTTCCGCGTGACCTCTAATGCTGGCATTTTCGAAAGTTCTCTCTTCACCAAAGGTCATTATTTCGAGGTAGTCCTTTACAAAGGTGTAGTCGTCATTCTGCTTGTGATTATCCCTATTTGTTGCGTCGGCCAGTTTATACCTACGTTCAATCGCTTCCTGTGTGTACGTCTTCAGATGGTTGACGGCGATTTCGAGCTCAGGTAGGGCGTTGTTTTTTATTTGGTACTTGAAAAAAGTGTTCTTCACAAATTCGATGTCGTAGGAAAAGTCGATGTGTGTGCAGGGGGTCTCCCCGTTGGAGGTTCCCATGTTCGAAGTTGTCATGTTGTCCGTTTCGGGTTCAGGGAGCACATTGTACAGCGTGACGGTGATGACTGTACGGAAGCACCCTGCTAGTGGAACATTGCACAGAAGGACAACGTACTTTTGTATTAAAATGACATTCTGGAGAAAAAAAAAAGATAAATTTTCCTTCACGTCGGATCGTGCAGGCATGCCAAACACTCTCTTGTCATCATCAAACAGGGATATATTGTAAACGGATTCGTACGAAAGGTGTCCCTTGCTCTGTAGCTCTCCATTCAGAGTGTTCAAGTGCTCATAACTTAAATTGCTCGGGTTCTTGTCCTGAACATTTCTCACAAACGGGTTCTTATCATCGAATTGGGAGAAGATGTCGAAAAATATGTTTTTGAAATCTTCATTTACGTGTAGACTATCAGTGTGGTAGTCGCATTTGATAAAGTTGTTTTGTTTCAGCAGTTCTTCCTCCTTGTCTGAGATGTTTGGTTGGATAATCTCGCTTCTGATCTGTATGACTATATTTTTCTTTTCCCCTTTGTGTGGAGGTCTGGTTCTTTCTGTGTTTTCCTCTTCGTCAGTTCTCTCTTCGGCCAGCCCTTCGGCCTGCTGCGACTGGCCGTTCATTAGGAGGTCGTCCTGCGTAGGCAGGATGTTGTAAATGACGGACTTGTCATGCTGCTTCTTCGAACTCTTCGATTCCCTCCACCGATGGGGACGTTTCTTCTTCTTCCTCTTCCGATTTGGTTGGCCTTGACCGGCGGGTCCTTCCCCTTGGCTTGGCTCTTTCGTCGATTCGTTTCCTTCTTCACCCCATTCCTCCTCCTCCTCCTCATCTGCATCTTCTTCGTCGGTCTCTTCCTCCTCCGCCTCCTCCTCTTCTGAGTTCTCTTCATCGTTGTAGAGAACGACGCCCTTCTTGGGGATCTCCCCGGCCAGCCTGTTATCACGCACCATGTCCATGATAATATCGTATGCGTGATCCCTGTGTACAAAGGACGTAAACAGGAATGACTTATTTTTCGCCATAATCTTCAGAGCATTTCGAATGAAGTTAAAGACGCTTATCTTCTGTACGTCTTCTATGCATTCGTAGGGAATGCGAACGATGGATATTTTTGAGAAAAGCGAATCGAAGAGGGACATGAAGTAGACACTGTCGTGCGTGATAAATATCTTTCCCTGAAGGAGGATTTTCTTCATGAGGGCACAGTTGTACGTTTTGATGGAGCTGCGGGCGATTGCATCTAAGTGGTCCTTGTCGGACACCGTGTAGGTGTAGTTCTCTTCGGACAGGAAGGGGCCAAGGTCGGCATCTCCTCGGTTTGCAGCTCCGTTAGGGGTGTCTCCTTTTTTATCACCTCTGTTTGCAACATCATGGTTCGGGGCCTCTTCGTTAGAGCCGTCTTTCTCCGTCACTTCCTTCTCCGTCGCTTCCCCCTCTACTGCTTCCCCCTCTGGCACTTCCTTCTCCACCGCTTCCTTCTCCACCGCTTCCTTCTCCACCGCTTCCTCCTCCGCCGCTTCCCCCTCTGCTGCTTTTTTCCCCCCCTTCCTTCTCGCCCTAAGCTTCCACCTCCTCCTTTTGTCATACGTTTTTTTAATGTAGTCCAGCACGCCCTCATTCACGCTGTCAAATGAGAATTCGCTGCATCCGTCGTACGATTTGGAGCTCTGCTCTTCTATGGGGAGCGCACCATCTGCATCGGCGTCGTCGGCTTTCGGTGCGGCAGTGTCTTCTCCCACGTCTGCTTTCACCACGTCTACTTCGCCCGCCACTACTACGGCTACTCTTTCCATTCCTCCCACTTCTTGTCCTACCGCTGCTACCCCTTCTTCGGAACGACCAACATCATCCCGGAAAGTGCCTAACCACACAGGGTCTCTCAAATCCTTCTCTTCTGTGCTGACTGTCCCAGGCGGCATGTTCTTATCATTAATAAGGTCATGAGAGGAACTTCCCTCTTTTGAGCAGTGGCCAAAGGAGAGTTCGTCGCCCACATTTCCTAGACAATTAATCTTTCTCAGTGAGTCGCTCAGGAGGATGCGCGCTCTTTGGACGAGCATGTCGGGTTGGGGGGTAGTCCCTTGGTTAGGAGAGCGGTCATCCAGATTGTCATCCAGTGCGTCAGCCCGTTGGTGATTCACCGGTTGGTCACTGGCTTGCCCTGTTGACCGCCCCACCCTGGAGTCGGTGAGGCTGCTTCCATCCGGTGGCTCCCCTTCGGAAGGGCCCCTCCGCCTGGCTTCAAAAAAATGGGGGTTGCTCAAAAGGTTCGCGATTTTCTGATCCGCTTGGGGTTCTCCGATGGTGCACTTTCCTGCGTGGGTGGGGGGGCAAAGGTTGGTCTATTTTATCAACCTAGGGGAGCGCGCAATAGATTTTACAGGTGACAATGGCTTTACTCGTAAAGTGTATATACATGTGTGCGTTTAGACTTGGGCGCTAGACAAATGAAGATGCAGCCTCCTCTGTCACGCAGGTGTGTGTGTGTGTCTGTGTGAGGGGGTGCACCTGTGCTCACTTACGCAAACTTACACACACTTATACAAAACATTCAGACATGAGCTCTAAACACAGGTGTACACTTAAATGCAGAGAAATGAGTTCGCATCGGGGTGGAAGGTAACAAGTGCCAGGGGTTACAACGCGCACTTTTTTTTTTTTCCCACTGATTGCGCATTCGTCCGTTCATGTCTGGAAGCCCCTTTGCATTTTTTTTTTTTTTTTTTTGTTCATCCCATATTGTGCACTTCGCAGGGGGCACCTACCGTCGCAGCAACGGGCATATATTCACGCTTGGTTGTAAAAGCACAGTTGCGGCTTTTCTCTTGGCGCCACACCCGTAAGTGTCTACCGCGTAGCTGTACGTACAGGTGTTATTCTTTTCCCCGTTTATTCGCCCACGCCACGAGGAGAAAAGTGGGCCGACGGGTGGGTCATCCAATCCGTCTCTTTGTTCTACTAGGTCAAATATCACGTGAGTTACCTTAACCCTCACCCCGATGATAACTCAAATGCACACTTTTGTGTAAGTAGGCAGTGGAAGGAAAAAACAGAGAAGATATCATTTTTCTCTTCACACGAATGAGCACACTTTGGCAGTCACCGCAAGGAGAGAGGACATCCAAAAAAAAGTACTCAGGTGATTATTCGAGGTGTATACATTTGTGTATGTCTAGAGGAGCAGGTATTTTTTCCCCTTCTCACAATTGCGTCATCGTGCAATGTAACATCATTGAGAAGCACCCTTTCTCTTAGCCACCACGCAGTACAGTTGCTTCACGTGCACATGGGAAGAACTCCCTTAGCGGGGGACCAACTGGACGTTTATTTCTGTTCCTACTTTTTATTTCCTCCGTTGGGTGTTCCTTCCCGTCGTCTCCATCGTCTGGGTATCTGTACGTTGCACAGAATTTCTTCATCTCTAAGTGGAACCTCTTGTTTGAGTCGGTTTGGCTTCCGCTTCCTTCACCTATGTCTCTGCAGTGGGGCGATGCGCGGCCGCGATGGACAAAATGGACACGACAGACACAATAGACACAATCGGAAGGTTCGACACTGCTCTGCTTTATTAACACCGCACTGCTTAACGGAAGAAAAGAAAAGAAGAGGTACCTAAAAAACATGTCGTAGGGAAGGGCTACAATTTCCATCATCGTGAGGATCTCCTGAGAATGGAAAAAAAAAAAAAAGAAATGAAAGTTGACTCGAGTGGCAACCTAGTGGAAGGGTGGAACCAACCAAAAGCGGGGATTGAAAACGGGTTGGACAAACAAAGGAGTCCTTTTTCATAAGGGGAAGGAGAAGGGGACAACTGATTAATCAACCCTTGGAATGAACACCCCTTACCTGATTCGTCTGTTCCTGTTTATAGTCCTCCAGAGGATCCAGATCAGATTGAATTTGTAGGTAATCTCTCCACCTGTATGTTATGGCTGCTTGGAAGAGGGAGGGGAGAAGGGAAGTGTGTGGTAAATTATATCTTTTTTGGTGACACGAGAAGGGATTATCCTAAGGGAAGTCATTCAATGAGGAAGTTTCTCTCCTTGGTGGAAAAAGCTCTTCTCATTGTTTCGTCACTTTGATCCCCCGTTGTTTGCTTCTTTCTTTTTTTTTCCTGCAGATGGTTTACCCGATCGGCTGTTCATGCGGCTGCGTCGGGGGGAGGAGAGAAAAAAAATGAAAAAGGGGAAATAAGCGGTACGGAAAGCGGCAGGTAGAATGTGGCGGCGAAAGGTGGCCAACGAACCGAACTGGGGTGACGAACTGCCTAACTGGGCCTCCGCGTCAGCTTCTCCTTTTTTTTCCCACCTGTGATGTCCTTTCCTCGCAGCGGTGGCGAATTTTCCGGTGGGACGCATGGAACTTATGTTCTCTGCCCCGAGGTGGGCGCTCAAGTGGGACCTGCGATTGGCGCGAAGCGGGAAGGAGATGAAGAGGGGGAAGAAGAACAAGAGAAGGAGGAGGGAAAGGGGCACAGATACACACAAACGGACAGACGTACAGACAGACGTACAGACAGACGTAAAGACAGACGTACAGACAAACAGACAGAGGGACTAACCACCTGCTCTCACAGATGCGCACACGCGCGCAATACCGCTCCCCCTCCGTCTTACATGAATGAGGGCAAAAAGTCAACCCGGCGGAAAGCCTCGGCCAAGCGGGTCACTTGCCTCTTCCACTTCTCCACCTGACAGTGGCTCCTTTCCGTTTGCGAAATGCACACCACGTACAGTTCGATGAGGACATTTTTCTAAAAAGGGGAAGGAGAAAAAAAAGAGAATGAAGGGTAAGTGTAAGTGAGATTAAGAGGATCAACAGGGGTGGTATTGAATGAACGCAGATCATTTTAAGTTTCTCTTTCACCCCCCTAGAGGGTCCGATGACTTACCTTTTTGTTCTGGTCCCTGGATAGCTGCCAATTCTAGAGGGGGGGGGAGAGGAGAAATAGAAAGAGGGAGGTAGAAGTTAGAAGGGTTGCTACATAAGTGTGGACATGACACTCGGTGAGGATGCACAGATAAGACGACATAGGAGAAGGACAACTGAGAAACGGGGAAACGGCGCGATTATCCCTGTTCCCCTTTTCTTCTTCTCACCTCTGTACTTACACGCATGATACGTTTTAAAGTGTCGTAGAATGAGGAGGTAAACTGAATAACACCGTCGAGGCACTCCATCAGGTGCGAAGTCAGCTGACTGCTTTGTGTGTCCTGCAGGGTTGGGGGGACAGAGTTGGTAGGGATAGCACGGTTAGCACAGATGGCAAAATTAGCCGTGGTAGCAAAGCATAGTGAGTGTGTCGCAGGGAGGGGAACTATCTTAGGGGAGTCTCCCCTACGTTGCGCCAATTTTTCCTTGCCTTGGCAGTTCTATCCATACCAGCTTCACCATCGTGTGTTTGTGTAACGTGCGGAGGCGTCTTCTCAGTTGGCGGTAGGTTCTGCAGACCTGCGGAGGGGGAGAGGTAGCAGTGGAAGGTGCAGCGGTGAGGTTTGGGGGGGAAGTGTGACCAAGGGGTGGAGACGCCAAGAGAGGAGTCACCAGGTTGGTACCACTAATCCTGAGAAGTGAATTTTCACTCCATGGTTCGACACAGACATCACAGGGATGGTGTCGTGGTGATGGTGGATGGTAACTCAGCCCCGACTTACCTGACTGATATGATGCTTCTTCCTCCTGAGGAGAAACCTAAAAAGAGGAAACCATCAATCGTGGGAGAAGCACGTTAAAAATACAGCCGTGTTTGTATGTGTGTGCAGGGAAACAGTAGGAAAGAAGTGAGACCACTTCTTGCATGCAGAATGGAAAAGCAGTGTTACTTCACCACGTCGTCGAAGCTCTCATCGACAGTTTCTTCTTCCTCCATGGAGGTTCCACTGGGATGTTTCTCGCGGGAGTCCTCTTGAATAAAATGGAAAATATCTTTCTCCCCTTCAAAAATGACAACGATGTCCTGATTATTCGAATGACCTGGATGGGTTACACTCGTGTGGCTATTCTCTGCACCGAGGGGGAATGCATCCATTGGGGAGGTCCCTCTGATGATGCGTCCACTGCTGGGAAGGTTAACCTTGTGGGGGGGAAGACTCACAGAATTATCTCCATGCAGGTGTATGTCTTCCCCCCCTGAGACGATATCCATCCCTACGGATCCGTCCCTTTTACTGTCCCGAGTCAGCGGTTCTTCATTTGCCTCCCTCAAGTAGCTGCAAAAGAGGAGGTGAAAGATTTACAATGCGAAATGGGATGATGGGGGGCGGCGGCGAGGTGAAAGGAAGCCTATGGGAATGGAATGAACCCCTTTTAACGGAGACACTTCTCTCAGGTGTGCCCCGTTACAAACTGATGTATGGGTTACCCAATTGAAGGAGCACACATTCCCTTTAGCTTCCCCGCGAGGTAGTTCCTCCTTTTTCTACAAGGGCGTACGAATGATGGGTGATGTGACTGGGGTGCAGGTGGTGAGGCATATAAAAAGGTACGTACAGCTGGATAGCCCTCTAAAGTGGAGGAAGAAGTTACGAGTGAGCAAATTTATAGCCATTCGCTCGTTCGCTCCATCATTCGGAGGCTCATTCGATTGCTCATTCGACTGCTTATTCGATTTCTCATTCGCTTCTTCCCTCCCGTGGGGGGGTTACCTGAGGCGACGGGAATAGACTTCGTATCGGCGCAGCAGATCGCCGCAGAGGTTAAGTAGCCCCCGGCTTACTTCCTCATTTAGGCGCCTGCACAAGTTGCATACAAAATTCAACACCGCTTCGACCCTCAATTTGAAGGAAAAAAGTACACTGGCGTGGACATCGGCGATGGTGTGATGGGAGCCTCCCTGTTTGTCTTTGCAGTGGGCTTCCGTAGTTTCCTCTTCATCAAGTTCACCCCGCCATCGAACTGAGTGGACCTTCACCAGTATACGTTGCAAGTCTTGCAATAAAGACACATACTCTCTGTTTATCTGCCTACAAATGAGCTCAATGTAAATCTGTTTCAATTTTATATTCTTCCTTATTAGCTTAAGTCGCTTCATAGAGAGTTCCTGTGATGCACTAGACTGGATCCCCACCAATCCAAGGTGAGTCGTTACAAGGTCAAGTATGAGATCAGTTGGGTGGGATCTCCTTCTTGTGGTGTCGCACCGCGTGGGAAGAGCCGCTTCACCGCCAATCCTTCCACATACGGACTGAGTCCCATCATCGGTGAGACTGCCCTGCTGAGCAGGGGTGAAACTTCCCCCCTGAGTATCCTTATGGCTCCGTCCATTAGCTGCCCGCGCCAGCGTCTTCTCGGCGCGTGCCTGGTGCCTCTCCACCAGGGCTAACCATTTTAGAAGCTTTATAAACCCGTTCAGCCGACGAAGGTATGCATCGATCACGAATACGCAGTTCCTCACGTGGGTGTAGGGATCTAGGAAGATCAGTCGTTTCGCCCTCGAGCGGTCCTTTTTCGCTGCCCCTTGTTCTCGCTCCAAGAGTGACATCGCTGGGGCGCGAAAGCGAACCCTCGGCGGGTCCCTTCGGAGGGGGCCCTTCGAAAGCTGGCGCATCTTGGTTCGCGCCTGAAGTGGAAGTGTACCATGGGTTTACTACTCCCCAGAGATGTGGCTGCTAATTTGGGCAGAGAAGAAACAAAGAAGAAAAAAAAAAGGAGAATCCTTTTTGGCGAGTTCGTGGCCACACCCCAGATGATACACACAGGGATGACATTTCTCACCTCGACGAAGTTGGACCTACCCCGTAATCTTCGCGGGAATGTTTTTTTTTTTTTCTCTTTTTTTCTTTCTTTTCAAATTCTTGCGCACCAGCGCAGATGCCAATGTGACCTTTTTACACTCCTTCTCCAGGGGCAGCGGGCAGGGGGTCGTCAAATCCCTGTGCACATTCGGCACATCAATCTGAAGCTTTATTATATGGTATTTAAAAGTGGGGATAGAAAGAAGAAAAAAAAAAAAAAATTAACAACTCCATGAGGTGATAACTTTTACCGGTTACACTCACCGTTGCTCAAGAGACGTGTAAAGTTGTTTGTTGCGAAGTGAGAAACTTGCGCGGGGGTTAAATCACCCGGATGTGAATCCTCCCCCCTCCCTATGGAGCACCGGGGGAAGAATTCATTTAAGGGGGACACCCCAATGAGACATAGACATGTTCATGGACGTGCCTGCACGGACTGAGACATTTTTTCATGTCATTACATATGTGTTGTGTACCTTTTCCTCCTCTGGCGTGGGGAACAACAAACGAACGGAGACTGCGTGTGGAACCGCCGGGAAACGAAAAAAAATAAGAAAACGAAAAAAAAAAAGAAAAAAAAAAGAAAAATTCTGACGCGCGAAGGAAGATACGGAAAAAATTACACAGCGGGGCTGACATATGTAAAGAGCAGTACAAATAAAAATGGAGATCCGTCCGTCGGGTTTCTCCCCTTCGAGGATGGGAAACACACTTGGCTGTGTGGGAATGATGGACACATATATGTGCGAAAGGGGGACGTGCGGGAGGAGTGTTATTTAAGAAAGGAGGGGGAGTGGTGATGCTCACCTGCGTTTTAACCCACATAACCAGGGGTGGGACAGCTGCGATTGGGAGGTACATTCACACACGTCCTGCTGCTTCCGCCACGTTCACCGCGTCATCCACTTCCATCGCTTCAACCCTAGCTAGAGCAGGCCCTGCGGCAACTTGAGTGGAGAGCCAGGTAAAAGCTCTCAATGGACTTCCACAAAAGGCAGAGCTGGTAGCTCCGACCGGGCGGAAAAAACCCATTGTTCATGGAGAAGCCATTCTGAAGGAGGAAATTTATGTCCTCGTCTCGCCATATCTTTATCTTCATTTTTTGTAAGTCATTAAAAAAAAACAGTAAGTCGTCAAGTGTGAATTTCTCCTCATGAGAGTGTCTTCCTCTCCTGTGGTTCTTCCTTTTGCTCTCCTCATCGTTTATCCGTCTCTCTAATTCTTCATTACACAAGTGAACAAACTTCGCTAAGTACTCATCGTAATCTGCATCGGTGCACCAGTTGTTGCCACTGAGCTTCATGTTTCCAGATCCGTTGGAGCCACTCGTCTCGGTTTTACTTCCCTGATTGCTCAGCTTCTCTCCGTGATTATCGTAAGTGAATTTGTTAAATAGGGCGGAGTCCACGACTTGGAATAGGGCAGTGTTCATATTGTGCCCCTCTCGCTGGAGGTGGCTCTGCGTGAGGCTCTTCATTTGCACCGAGTGCACTATCTCATCTATGTCGGCGCAATTGAACATGATCGTCAGGACGGACAGGGCGAGCGTATCGACGGGGTGGTGGGGGTCGCGGTGGGAGTCATCCTTGGAATCTGCGTGGGACCAACGGGGACCGTCCCCATGGCGAATGTCCCAATCGTCGTTACTCCTGCCACCCCGCGCGTTGGATCCTGATCTGCCCCTCCTCAGCGACTTGAGAAGGTGCTCGTACTTATCCGTGGCCCCGGGGTGCAGCGCGCTGAAGTGGCTGCTGAATTTGTGCCTGAAGGGGGCGTACTCCAAGGGGGGCAACGGCGCCGCGGTCCTGGTAAGTGTCGTTCTTGGCGCCTCTCTCCGCGGTGGCGACCCTCTCTGCATCGGTAGCCGCCTCACCGTCGCGCCTGTCCCCCCCATGTACTTGACCAAGTAAAACTCAAAAAGCCTTCTCCGTGTAAACAAGTTTGGCAGATGGAAGTGAATGACCTTGTCGAAGCGTTTGGATCGTACGAGGGCCGAGTCCAGCATCTTGTACCGGTTGGTGGCCCCGATGAAGAGGATAAACTTTCTCGCCCGGTGCTTCCTCAGGTTGAAAATCTCCTCCACCTCCTGCAGCGTGAGGTCATTGTTAAGATAATACTGCATAATTTCGTATCCGTCCCGTTCGCGCGGGGGGGGGCGATCACCACTGCTGTAGCAACCTCCGCTGATGTTCCGCTTTGCATGATCCCCGTTTGCACACTCGCTGCGCGCGTCTGAAGACTCCCCATCCGGTGAGATGATCTCCATGAGGGCCCTCGTCACGGTAGAGAAGAAGCCCCCTTTATCCCGACCGCGCGATTCCAGGAGGAACTGCTCCCGGTTATACTCATGCAAAGAATCCATTTCGATTAGAAGCTGATTCAACGTCTGAGTATATTCATGGTTGGCGTTGTTCCCCCCGTCGTTGTTCATACATCTGCTGAGGCCAATGCTATCGATCTCGTCAATAAAGAGCAGCACCGATCTGGAGCTCCGTTTGGCCCTCTTAAAATAATTCCTCAATTTGGAAGCCCCATTCCCGATGTATAACTCGATGAATGTGGATCCTGAGAGGTGAATGAATTCTACGTCCAGATCTTTGGCGATAGCTTTGGCTAATAGACTCTTCCCCGTGCCAGTCTCTCCAGTGAATAAGATCGTGTTATACCCGGATAAGTTGCAATTTTCTGGGAACATACTCGAAAAGAGGAGAAAAAATAAGACCCCCTTGATGTCCTTCTTGGTGTTTTCATTTAGAATAATATCGCTGAAGGAGTTACCCTTGTTTGTGCTGTGGGGGGAGTAATCTCGATTGGTTAATGCCGACGAAAGGGAGAGGTTCCTCTCATAAAAATAGAATAAGCTTGCCAAAGAAAGACTATACGTAAGTAGATCGAAAAAATTCCTTCGAATCATTTCGACGAAGGATGACTTGATCATTTTGTCGTCCAATCTTATTTCTACATTTTCGTACAATTTATTTTTCAGTAGAAATCTCATTATATAGTCATTGTAGAAGATAGTATACATATTGTTTGTCTCTTCTTGTGTGGAGAGAGATGGACTGGCTGCCATTTTGTTTGAATTAAATATGCTCATATTGGTACCCGACTTGGGGAGAGTCGCTTTGCTTAGCATGTACGTGAATGTGTTGTTGGACGGATTGAAAAGAATCGTCTTAACGTTATTCTTGTGTACGTTGTGGAAGAAGTGGTTGTAATCTTTGGAGATTGCTGCGTCGGTAGCGCCCCCTGGGGAGAGGAGGGTACTGGTAAAATACTTCGTCACGTTAAGGTAGTAGTTATTTATGTAGGCCGCTACCCTCCCCTTCATTTTGTAGTAGAGGTAGCCGCACGATAGCACGCTCAGTGGGATGAGCCAGTATGACTTATTATTCCTCAGCGCTTCGAACAGGAGGTGGAAGTAGTTCTTTTCGAAGGGGTCGCACTTCTCCTCCAGGAGCTCCTCGCTTCGGGGTCGATCTGCCGTCTTGGCTGTTGGCGGCGTCTGTGCCGTTTGGACGGTTGGGGGTGTTTGCGCCGTTTGGGCCATTTCTGCCGCCTGAGTCGTTTCTTCCTTCTGCGCGTTTGGCCCTTTGGGTTGCACCTCTCCAGGTGGGACTTCTCCCTGTGGGGCTTCTTCCGGTTGATCCCTACCTTTTCCTGGATCTTCATCGTTACACTCAATTGGGCCCTCCTCTTTATACGCGGCTGGGTCGTCCCTTTTACATTCAATTGGGCTCTCCCCTTTATACGCAGTTGGCCCCTCCTGCCCCAGCCCACTTCCCATCTCATGCTCCACCTTCTTCTGCAAAATTATGGTGTAAAACATATTCTTAATGGCTAGTACGAAGAGGTAGCAGAAGAGGTACTCATTGGCCTCAACATCTGCAAAATGCTTCTGCGTTTGGAGTATTTTCTTCAAATGGAGGTAAATTTCCCTCTCCCTGGGGGGGAAAATGGCATCCATCATTTGGTCGTAGTACGTGGACATGCTCTTGGCGCTATCCGATGAGACATCGTCATTCATACTGGCGTCGCCGCTGCTGCTGATGCTGCTTCGGTTGCGATTGAGGCTTCTACCTCCATTTCCGCTTCTGTCGCCGCTTCCGTCTCGAATGTTCTTCTTCCTCAGCAGCAGGGCTTCCTCCTGTTTAATGAGTTCCGCCCTGGAGCTGCTCATCCTGTGTATCTTCCCCTCGCCATTTTCATGATCACTCAAGGAATGGGACTGCGACTGGGATCTCTTGTAGAGGTGACTCAAATTGATGAGGTAGTCGCTCATCACCTCCTCGATATTCGTTCTGCGTTCGCTGCGCCCTTTCATCTTGGCGAAGGGGCGAAGCAGCATCAAAGCGGCGACAAAGCGGCATCAAAGAGGCATCCACACTCCGCTCAGGCTGCTCTAACTTAGTGCGCTAATTTTTCTTTTTTCTTCAACTTGGAGGGTCGGCTTGGTCTCTACTCGGCATACGCAGCTGCCCGCGTGGGGGGGGACACACCATGGGTTGCCAAACGAATGAAGGCACGTATATTGGAGTCTGCATTCGTTTTTGCGTTTCAGCCTGCGCTAGCAGCTGGGTATGCCGCGCGGAACAGGTGGCCAAAAAAGGTGTCAAAAAAGGGCGATAAATAATGGGCCAAAGACTAGGCAAAAAATAAACAAAGAATTACACAAAAAAATCAAAAACCAAAAAAAAAAAGGGAAAACCAAAAAAAAGGAAAACAAAAAAAGGCGAAGCAGAAAAAGGCGAAGCAGAAAAAAGGAGGGGCAAATATAGGAAGGAATCTACGAGGGAGTCACTCCCCGCGGGGCTTTCTTTTCCCCCTTCGGCAGAGTACCCCCCCGCAAAGAATAAAAAAACAGTCTCCGCCGTTGCCGTCGTCGTTGCTGTCCCCGTTGCCATCGCCTCGAGCTCTATACACTTAACGTCGTACTAGCCGAGTCGATTCGCGGGAAAGCATTCTTATGACTAACAAAGCGTTATTTCTTTAAGAAAAAAAAAATTAAAAAATAAAGAAAATAAAATAAAGAAAATAAAAAACATAAATCTGCTAAATTACACAACTGTTAAAAAAGGGGAACAAAAACCCGCGACAAGTTGGAAGTGAAGAAGAAGAAGAAAAAAACTTACCAAGGGGCTAACAAAGCAGGCTTTAGCAATACCTTGTGGAAGAAAAAAAAATTCATTAAACAATTGCCAAATGAAGGACTCGTGTAAATAACAGAAAAAAAAATAATTAATAAATGAGTAAAAAAAAAAAATAGGGGGGTGGAAGTGGGGCTGCAAACAAGGACACCTCACCTCCGAAAGGAAGCGCAGAAGTGGGCCCCTAACTGTAGGAACGTAAACAACACAACGTTGGCACTGACGTTAAGGAGGGCGTGTATGTGCACCGCTGTAGCGACCGCGTTGACTGGGCCACTTGGCGAATACGAAGGGGTGTGCCCCCACAGGAGGAAAGGCAGCAGGGGGGAGGGGGGGAAGCAAAGGTTATACTCTACACGCAAATAGGAACATGCAACAAATGCGCATTACAAGTAGGGGCTTATGCATACGCACACATTTCTGCGCCTCACATGGGGACACCCCGTGGTGCACGTGCTGTTAGTAGGGGGAAGGGATGAGGAAGGGGGGTGAACAGATTTATATCCCCTTCCCGCGCGGATTCCACTGTCACCGTTGCCGTAGTGAAGTGTAGTATGCGACGAGTACCTAATTGGCATCTCTTTTAATACTTCCCGCTTATACACACATGTAAGAATTTTGTTTTTTTTCTTTTTTGCACCAAACAGAAGAGCTGATAACTGGCGATGCACACACAAGGATGTCATTTTATCGTGCAACACCCGACTTGCAACCCACGACAACGCAGTCGTTACAACGAATAGCACATTTATGTTTCCCCTTTTTTTTTTTTTGTTTTTTTTTTTTCTTTTCTTCCTTGAGCGAAAATCGAATGGGGTAAAGAAACAAAAAAAAAAAATTCATCCTTACTGTACAGGCAAATGATTTTTTTTTTTGTTCCGCTTTCTTCATGCACATTTTGCAGGATGGTTCTTACCCCCTCCGTTCGCTTCGGTTGCGCTTTGACTGAGCTTCGGCTCTGCTTCCACTGGGTTTTGACTATGCTTCGACTGGGCTTCCAGTTCGCTTCCACCCCGTGTGGGTTCCGCTTTGACGACGTCTCTTGCGGGCTGAAGAAGTGGCCCCAGCACGTCCGTTCCAGCTGCCATCCCCTCTTCTTCACTCCCCCTCACATGAAGTACGAACTGTCCGTGCTCGCATTCTCCACGGAGGCGTCTGCTTCCTCCGATGTGTAGAGAGTCACCTTGGACTCTTCATCCTGCGACAGGAGTTCCATCAAATTCCTCTGGCTCATGTTTCGGGTGACTCGCATGGAGGCGGTGTCCTCCACTTCGCTCACGATCTCCTCCTGAGACTTGGCCTTTGCCTTGCTACTCATTTTCCCGTCCTGCTTCTGGCTCGGTTGAGTCTCCTTGGGTTGAGTCTCCTTGGATTGAGTCTCCTTGGGTGGCAGCTGGTTATCGTCCTCCCGCTTGATTTTATCCTTCCCTTGAAGGGAGGTGCTACTAGCCAGCGCAGGCTTCTCTGCGTCGCCTCCCGCCTGGGCGGCCTCATCGGACTTCTTCTTGGCCAGGCCCTCGCCCTTCTCCTTTTTCTGCGCGAATTGGTACTCCATGATTTTTTCCATCAGTTTGTGTTTGTAGTCCACTTTGCGCGGAGGCTCCTCCTCCTCTTCCTTCTCTTTCTCCTCTTCGTCCTCTTCTTCTTCGTCTTCTTCCTCGTCCTCCTCTTCTTGGTCCCCCTCGTCATCGTCCTCCTCCTCGTCTTCCCCCTCATAATCCGCCTCCTCATCCTGGTCCAGCTCACCCTCCTCGCGACCCGGCGCCGCGTCGGAGTGCCCCGTGCGCGCCTTGAGCTGGGCCTTCTGCGCCTTCTGCTTAATTAAGTCGTCGCGGAACTCAATCTTGCAGCTCATGGTAAAGGTAACAAACAAATCGGATAGTTTCTTCAAAACGGGAAAGTTGCTCATCTCGTTAATCTTATAATCAGTAGCGGCCTTGACAGCCTTGACTAGAATCTCATCAGGAACAGTCTCTACATTTTGATGGTGTGCCCAGGTGTTGACATCATCTTCCTCAAAATCTTCCAACTGCTCCGAGAAGTTTTCTACGTCTTTCTCGGGGCAATTTCTAATAGTGCACCTAGTGCATTGAATATTATCATGGGTTTCACAAAGAGTATTCATTTTGTAATTAAAGATTTTCTTCACATTTTCGTCGGACATTTGATCTTTGGATAAGTTCGTATTCGTAACAATCATGGAGGAGAGTCCATCTTTACTTATCTGTCTTTGATACACTTTCTCATCGATGGTACCTGTGCAGAACAACCTATAAATGTAGCAGATCTTCTTTTGTCCTTCTCTCCAGACTCTCGCTAAAGCCTGCTTATCATTCGCAGGGTTCCAGTCAGGATCCAAAAGGACCAAGCGATTCGAACTGATAAGATTGATGCCGCACCCTCCAGACTTGGACGAAAGAAGGAATATAAAAATATCAGACGAGTGTGTGAAGTCATTAATAACCTTGTGCCTTTTTTTGATGCTGATTCCGCCATCTAAGCGGACAAACTTGTAGAAGTTCTCTTTACATAGGATCTCCATATAGTCCAGGGTTTGTGTGTAATTACTTACTATGACTACCTTATCTGTGGTGTTTTGTTTGATCGTTTTTAGGAGAAAGTGGAGCAGCTGGAATTTGCACGACATGTTGTAGTAGGACCTGTGTGTGTCTCTTCTGCATTCTTCTAGCAGCTTCTTCACCGGTTTGTCGTAGTCCATTTCGACGGCTCTTCGGCGGTCGCGGTCACGGTCCCGATCGCGGTCCCTCTGTGAGTTGCTTCCTTGTTTGGAGCTCCCCGCCGCTGCTCCGTCATCCCCGCCAACTGCGCTGCCTCCACTTCCTACGTTCCCCCGCTTGGCGCCCCGGTCTGGCTTCTTCTTCTCCTGCTCCTTCGCCGCGTCCTCAATGAGCTTACCCAGGGACAGCTTCCCAACGTCCTTGATTTCATTCGAATTAAGCAGCAGCGGGTGGTTGCAGATCTTCTCCAATTTCTTCATATTCATCAGAACATTCACCTTGGTGGTGCTCTGATCGTTCTTCAGTATCCGCTTGTCCTTTAAAAAAAGAACGTACAGAGCTTCCTGGATGGGATTTAGCTTAATAAATATATTAATTAGATACTTTACGGGCAGCACTTTAGAGAGTAAATTGTTTGTCCTCCTTAGAATGAACTTATTTGTAATGGTTGACAGGTCGGCTAGTCGCTCCGATGCAATTTCTTGTTCTTTCTCCGTTGCGTCTTTATCCCTTCCAATGAGAATCGGATTGGCGTATTTCTTCCTAAACAGATTCGTGTCGTCAAAGAGATCCGGGTTGCACAAAGAAATCAGAGCGAAGAATTCACTCAAATCATTCTGTATTGGGGTACCAGAAAGAAGAAGTCTCTTCCGAGCAGCCAACTTATAGATGCTCATATACGTCTTGGTCTTGTCATTCTTTAACCGATGTGCTTCATCGCATATGATCATATCGATGGAGGACTTATCCAGCGAGTCGTTGTTGATACGGAAGCATTCATACGAGCAGATGATGACTGTCGATTTATGGTCGTACTTGAAGCCTTCCAACTTACTCACAATCTTCTCCTTTGCATTGTCGTTAACACAAGTCACGTTGCATCTTCCAGGTAGCCATTTATTAATTTCGTCATTCCAGTTATTGATTAAGCTAGCTGGACATAGAATCAGGCACCTCCTAACAGCTGGCTTTTTATCGATCCCTTGTTTTAGAAGTGTGTACAATACGGAAATGCTTTGAAGAGTTTTTCCTAATCCCATGTCATCTGCCAGGATACATCCACTTATTTTTTCGTCCCTTAGATTCATTAAGCACTCGAAGACGAAGGTGACTCCCTCCCGCTGGTGTTCCCTCAGGTATTGAGCCAAAATGGGATCCACTTCTACTTTGCTCTTTTCATCCTCGTACAAGATTAGCGGCACAAAATCCTTTTTTATTTCGTTTTCCTTCTGTTCATTCATTTCCGTTTCGTCTGACCTCCTTGGGATGGAGTTCTTCATGAGATTTATCCATCCTGTTCGCCTGACCTTTGCGCCTAGGGTTTTCTGAACGTACAGATTCTTATCGCTGATGAACCCAGGGAGGGGGTTCTTGAAGGGGTGGAACAGCGTCGTCTTCTCATTTTTTTCGATGCTCAGGATGGGAAGCAGCGTCGCCCGCACCAGCGTGATGCACGTCCTGTCGGGGCTGTCCTCCCGGCTCCGCTTCGCATTCCCGGGGCACTTCCTCATGGGGGGGAAGAGCGGCAAAAGGGGCAGCGGCACACTGGGAAGGCGCTACACTGGGAAAGCGGCACTCTGGGAAAGCGTCCTACTGGGGCTGCTCCGGGAGAAGGCCTCTGCGCAGTGGTACCCCTTTGCGTGTACCCCTCAACTTGTGCTGATTTACGAGTCCCCCCTGAGGTGTACCTCCGCAGCGGACATGCACACAGGGCCCGCTTTAGCGCGCAAAGGAATTGGAAGCTGCTGGGAAGGTGGCGAAGTGAATGGAGGAAACACCCTTGCTGTGGTGAATCGTCGTGAAGCCTACTGTGTGGCGTACGGTGCGACCCGCCTTTTCCAGCCGCGACCCGGTGTGCACCTGTGAGGCAGCCAGTCGGCAAACCTTTGCAGATCTTTCGATGGGGAAAAATAAACGCTGTTGGGTATACTTCGCACTCGAGGGGGTAAATAGCCGTAACGCAGTGGGAATTCCCCTTTATCTGTAAATTTTTCTGTACGTGCAAGATGTGCATCTTTCTTTGCCGTAAAAATAAAATGTTCCCTTTTGCGTGACTCCACCGTGGGGGGAAACGGTCTACCACGCGGTGCAAGGCAGGTGTTTGTCAACCCAGCTTGGCGATGTGCTCAGAAATGAGCCAAGATCACAACACTACACTCAAGCCAAGACAACAAAGTGAGACTCCGTCTAAAAAAAAAAAAAAAAAAAGAGCAATCCAAGCGAAGCGAAGCCAAGGTAAAAGCTACGCTACGATACGGTACACTACAACAGGCAACGATACACTACGCTACCATAACATGTGGTGAAGCAGAAACCATCGTGAGGGAACCACCGGTGCAATACTCCGAGCGATAATCCAAACACAGGGATGTCCTTTTAAGACGTGTGCTTCCCCATTTGGAGTGCCACTCTCGCCATACACACAGGACCGGGGGGGAGAAGTGGCTCACATAAAGATGGTCCCCCAAAAAAAAATAAAAAAAAAAAAAAAAAACGAACGAAATGGCTTCATACGTTTTATGCTACCTTCAAATGGATGACTTTTTTTTTTTTTTTTTCCCCGTCGTATTTCTTCACCACCCGTGATGCTTCCTCCAAAATGAAAGAAAAAATAAAAAAACAAAAAAACAGAAAATCAGAAAAAAATTCCAACGAGTCATACTTGTAAAGGACGATGAACTACGTGTGCATCCCCCTTTTCGTCTCATTTGCTTTTACAACCTGGGGAGGACTCCATTCTGGATTGCTTGATCCGCGTAAAAGGGTTCAACGGAGAAAAATGGGAAAAAGGAAGCCGAAGCAACCATGACACTAATGTGCAATTCCCAGGAGTGCCTACCCCAGTGAGGGGAATCTCATCGGTAGTATAGCTGCAGCACGTGGATGTTGCCGTCCACATCTCCGCAAACCAACTTGTTGTCGACGTTCTGGAAGTCCCGATCGAAGGAAGGAACGTATGTCTTCTTCCCGTACCGTTTGTATTTTCCCAGAAGCGAGTCATACTTCTCCTTGTCGATGTAGGAGCTCTCCGACACCATGTGTCTGTTTACGGTTACGTAGTAGGTAGGCCTCCCTATGGGTACCTTGCAGTACGTATTTTTGTATATGTCCAGATTTTGCTCGTACTGAATGTTTCTATAAAAAGTGGAGTTATTAATGAGGTTGCTCTTTACAATATCGTAGATGTGAATCTCGTTGTGGTGCGTGCAGCAGAGGATAAACTTGTTTCGATTATCCAGTTTGATGTTTCTCCGGTGGGAATTGTTCGAGTCTCCTCTGTACAGCCCGAGGAGGGTTCCTGCGGGGGGGGAAGTGACGCGGGGAGTCATGCGGGCAGTCATGGGGGTACTCTCACTTACGGGGACATGCACAATTGTCCGTTATTTTCCGTCGCCGCTCCCCTCCTTACCGCTGTTCTTCTCCACCAACTTGACGCTGTTGTCAATGCCATTCACACAGAAGTAGTTCCTGTCGCTCGTCACGTCGATGCTGAGGATGGAAGACTTCATGTCGTAGCTTAGAAGCTTCCCCATCCGCAGATCGTACACTCTCAGCCAGTTGTCGATGCTGCCTGTGTAAATCTCGTGTTCGTCCACAAAGATACTGCGCGGTCGGGAAGGGTGAGTGCAGAGTGGGTTGGTTTAACAAAGGTCGGCTCAGCAACGGTCGGCTCAGCAACGGTCGGCTCAGCAACGGTCAGCTTAGCAACGGTTGGCTTTTATACCCACACGTGCCTGGTCAACTCAGTGGGCATGTAACGATTTTATTTTTTACTAACTCTGAGATGGAGTCCCTCGCTTCATTGAAGGCCTGCAAAGGGGTGTTCTTCTTCTTGTAGTCCCTCTCCCTAAAATCGTACACATTGACCGAGTTGCTTCTGCTGCAGAAGAGCAGCTTCTCATTCAGGCTCAATCTGATTACGTTAACTTTGTCTGCGGGATGGGGCAAAGCGAAACGCAGTTAGGTGGTGCGGCATCTCGGACATTGCGCTGCTGCCTGTCGGACGTTGCGCTGCTCCCACTCCTCATCGCGTAGTTACCATTCACGTGCAGCCTATTTAAAACCTTGTTCGAGAGAGTATCCCAAAGGTAAACGTGGGCGTCATTTCCTGCGGTGTGAAGGGGAGAAGTCTGTAATGGATGGTTTTCAGGGAGGACGAACGTAACGGGCGGTGCGTCGGGAAGTCGCACTTTTGTTCGGGAACTCATATGGAGACTCACCCGCTGAGAAGAATTTCGTATTGTCCCGGAACAGGGCGATGTCGTTTATGCCCTTTTTGTGCACATCTGCATGGGGGGGAAGAGAGGTGCAACGTCTTTGGGGTAGTCCGTTTTAGGGGTAGACCCTTTGAGAGACCACAAAACGGAGAAGCGTCATTGCTCCCTTTGTAAGTGCCTTCGCAGCGACGCGCTGAGCAATACCTTTGTAGGTGTTTATATGCAACTGCTTATTCACATTCCAGAGACAAACAGTGTTGTCCAAGCTTGAGCTGACGATGTGGTTCTCATCGTTGCTAAATACGATCTTCGTTACGCACGCTGTGTGTAGAAGGGCGATAAAGGAGAAGAAAACTCATACGTTTCGGGCAGCGCAATATGGGCGAACATAACAGAGCCGAGGCCTCGTTTATCCACCTGCACATTGGGAAATGAGCCAGTACGCCAGAAAGTCAGTAAGCGAGTAAGCTCGTATGTGCCCATAACCCTGTGCACTTTTGGAGACGCCATCTGCTCAAAACGTGCACAGCTCTGCTAAAGTAACCTCTGTGGCCGGACAGCTTTCCAATCGTTTTTACCGTCAGATCAATGTCCATAGTCGGGGGTTATTGGAAGTCAACTTCCTAACTGGAGTGACATGGTGAAAGGGATGAAGGCGGACAAAAGTTCCATCGTCGCGCAACGATGAAGTGTACGTGCACAGGTTGTCGTTCTGCCTGACCAACGCGTTTTTTTTTATGAACAAAAAAAAAAAAAAAAAAAAAAAAAAGAAAAATTCAAAATGGCTAGCTCGAGGGGGCCAAGAGAATGTGCCAATCGGAAGAGCTGTGAAGAGGCTCCACACGCATCTACATGTTTGCTTAACTGCATAACGACAAAGTGGTGGAGCTGCCTATCTGCTCCCACGCATGGACGTTAGCTATTACTTATGAGGGGCGCCGCCACGCCCCCCCCACAGGTGTAGTTATATTTTTGCCGCGGAGTGGCATTTTGCCGGGAAATATATATACCATGCTGTGCTGGAAAAGCGAAGAAAATATATTCAAGCTTTCCCACCTTTTAAAGCGTCTCTCTTTATAACCCCATTTAGGAACCCCCACTTCAGCTGAGTAACTGCGGATGGGGAAAAAACCCGCAATGCCTCTAACACCCGCAATGCCTCTAACACCCACAACGCCTCTAACACCCACAACGCCTCTAACACCCACAACGCCTCTAAC